AAGGAGACAGTAAACAAAGGCATATCATTAGCTCACACACTCGACGCTAGTGAAAGAGTGGTTTCCACTCTAGCACTTGCCATCATCATTATATTTGAAGCTTGTTAATCCTAACATATTTTCCAAGTATGTCTGTATCTGGTAGCAACAGTGGTAAATCGTACTCGTGGACTGATGTTTCGGGTAACGTGTACTACTATTACAAGCATCCTATGACCAAGGCTGTTTTGTTCATTTTACTACAGGAATTATGTGAACGTTTGGCCTTCTACGGGTTGATGCCCAACCTTCAGATTTTCCTCAAGGAGTATCTTGGGGTTGATGACGCTGGTGCTAATTCGTATATCTCTACGTTCAACGCTATCCTTTATGTTACTCCACTTCTCTCTGCTGTGATATCGGATACGATACTTGGACTCTATCTCACTATTCTGGCATTCTCCTTCGTTTACATGGCGGGTTTGGCTCTTCTAACGCTGTCTACGATACATTCGATTAGTCAGCCGTGGATGATCCATGTCTCACTACTCTTCCTAATCGCATTTGGTGCGGGTGGAATTAAGAGTTGTGTGAATGTCATGGGAGCTCAACAGTTCCATCCTGAGGAGCATAAAGATCTTATTACAAGGTATTACACCTATTTCTATGCTTCTATCAATCTTGGTTCTATTGTTGGTGGTATTGTCACTCCGATTTTGGTCGAATCGGTCTCTTTCACTGCAAGCTTTTCTTTCCCTTTAGTTGCCTTTATCATTGCAACGATTGTTTTTATTGGGGGTAACTTGATGGGTCGTTATGTCAAGCCTAAGCCTCAGGGATCTGCTGTATTGGAGATCCTCAAGGTACTCTTCTTTTCTATTACGAGGTGCTCCCTGGAAAAGAACAAGGAGTCCAATGGTGGTCGTTTCAAGGATGGTTTCATTGAGGATGCAAAGGCACTCTTCCGATTGGTGCCTTTATTTTCCCTCATTATACCTTTCGTGATGGCTTACAATAACATGACGACAGCTTTCCTAACTCAAGGTAAGAAGATGGACACCAACCTGTTCGGATGGGAGATGCCGGCTCAGATGATGCAGA